GCTTGACTCGGAAGTCAACTTTATATTATGACCTTTATTTTAACATGGATATGTGGATTGGAATAGAAACCAAGCTAAAATTGAACGTCGGTTCTCGAGCCGCCGGGGGCGGCTTAGCATACTGGCGGCACTTGAGCCGCGCCACCCCCCACGGCTCGGCGTAGTGAATTAGTTAAAAGTGACCATATCTATACTCTCTTGTACATAGGAGAAAAAGGAGGAAGGGGAGGAGGAGATCGAGGAGGAGGAAGAGGAAAAGAGGAGGGGAAGAAGAAGGTGGAGGAGGAGGAACACATACTTCTTGAGCATAGAGGACTGACCTGAAGCTTCCCTGCCAAACTGCTGGTGTAGACTCGCGGAGACTCTTTGTCCTTGAAGTGGAACGACATGGAGGCCAGGTCCTAGTCAGGGAAGAGAAAAAACAAATCAATTATAACGAGCAAGAACACTGACCAACCAAGCCCGTTAAAGTTCCAGGCCTACGGTACCTTGACCACCTCGGAAGTTTCAGGAGAAGCATAGATGGGCATAACTGAAATAAATTTTGCGTCAAAGAGTCAAATGGTTCGGACATCTAACTAGAATGCCCCAGAAACGACTAGCAGCTAGAGCTTACAGCACTCGAGAAAATATTTTTGCTAAAATAATCTTGAAATCAGCATTTAATCTTACTCCTCATTTCACGGAGCCACAAATCTGTTTTCCAAACTCACTTGACACTCCCTGAAGATCCATTCCTGCGGTCCCTCTCGCCGCAGCATGTTCACATACTGGTAGATCAAACGGATGATTTCGTCTGTGTTCTCTGAGAACAGAAAAACATGCAAGGTCAAAACAGGCTGTAATATTACCAACATGCACAAACTTGCAAAAACTTTCTCAGTAGCATCGGTAGGCCCCCACATAGGTCCCACCTCCTTATAGACTATTTCGCAAATTTTTTTCACACTTATTCAGGACTGAAATCTCAAGAAAAGCACCAACTATATAACTTAGAAAGTGAAAATGAGGACAAAGACAAGAATGACAAAATAATAACAAGATTGCAGTTGTGTGTAGGATAGCCATACCTCTCTCGAACACACTTCATTTCTCTTTTATTTTTTCTTTAACAACAAAAGAAATATGACAGTTACTCTTTGTCTTTTTTTTTTCTCTCTGCAGTGCCATTTAATATACACCAACTTATGTTTAATGTGTAGCCAACACAGTTCCAGTCATCACATCGCAGGAGTTCAGAAAATGACAAAACACAAAATTAGTTTGTTCTCATCTAAGCAATGTGAGATGCTCGTTTCCCACAGATATATTCAAGAATCCATGGCGAAAACCATTCCAGTTTGCACATCACACTTCTGAAACATGAGCAGCATTAATGAAACAAAAAAAAAGAAACCTTTGAAAAACATGGTTACAAAACACGAGAAAAAGAGGAATGAACACATGGAGCACAGCAACAAAAAATTGGGGGAAAAAATGAAAAAAAAATATGGGAAAAAAGGAATTCTTTTTTTTTTTTTTTATCCTCCTACCTTGCCCCTTATCTGTCAAGTCTACAGCTACAGAGAAGAATGAGAAGCCTTTGGCCCCTGACCTCTGACCCCCGACCAGGGTGTTGGCCCAACCTGAAACAGAAAAAAATATGTTTGGTTTCAGTCTCATTCTTTAATACCCAACACATAATAGTTACAATATTGTGAGAAGTTTTCTTCCAATCCTGTCCTCCACCACATTCACAGACAAACAATCAGGTAGTTTGGACATATGACATGTTTGGCATCTCACTAGCTGGCGAGTAAAGACTGCTACAGAAGAATATCAGTAAAATCAGGGTACAAGGCAAGAGGAAGACCTGGATCGAGGGTGTGAAGGACACCACTAAGACACACAACATCCCAACCAGCCAGGCCATCCTGCTTGCCAGAGACTGAATGCTCTTTCTCCCCTCCACGGATAAAGTAAAGTAAGTAAGTGAAGTAAGCTACATTTCTTTGCATTTTCTCACGTCTGTCCCAACCCAAGGACAACATGGAATTTAATCATCTGGCCTGCAAAAGGTATTCCTAAAAACCTTGTATAAACATTTTTAAAAATCACACAAATGTCAAAACACTTTATCGGCAAACACAGTTCTTCACAGAAAAAAAGCACCAAAAGACACACGTGTTTCCAAGCTACCACTTGTGGCTATCACTGGAATGAGCTAAAAGTACATTAATTGCACAGATGTATATTCGCTGAAAACTTTCACAGATGTAAGCTTTAAATCACAGACCAACTCCAGTCCGAAAATAGGCACTAACCATAAAATCAAAACGACAGAGAATGACAAATGACACTTGAAGTTCACTGACCTCTAGCTTTCAACTCCGACAACAAGCTTCCCGATCCTTCATGCCCCAACAGATGCCCCAAATAGTGGCCAGGCTGTGAAGGAAAGAAGCAATTAAAAATAATAGCACAACTATGCAATATTTTTGGCCGAAAAAAAAGAATCATCAACATAAATCGTTATACATATTGCTTGATAACATCTTTCTAAAAATCAAAACTAAAAGTCAGGTAATTTGAAAAGCGGTAGAAGAGTTCTTTAGTTTGTAATACTACAAGAGAGCATAATCGGGAAAGGACTCGACTTTTTGAGTGAAATCAGAAGGCATAACTAGACCGCCTTTGTACCAACTGGCATTGTGAGACTCGGAGAGCATTCCATACACAACCTTTTTCACATTAGACATCAATACATGCTGGTAAGTGCAAATCATCAAGGCAGACAAGAATACGAATACCATATTTTCTTCTCTTGTGCTACATTTCTATTGCTCAATGGTGATTTCAAGGATACAAAATACAGTGAGCAATTTCTATAGGGATTCTTTTTTCTTTTTTACATCAACTTCCGTGTCAAAATTTTCGACTATTTAGAAAACTATATGAACTGGTGGAACAGCATCTATAGCAGGGGACTCAAATAGACTTCAGATGAAGACAAAAAAACAAATACTTATAATTCAGTTGACACTTACGTTGGCTTTATAGTGTTCTGATACATCAGGTGTGGGCCACACTACGGACATCTCTCGTATATCTTTCACAGGAACGGTGACCACTGTGCACTGGACAAAATGTATTGGTTAAACATCACTCATTCATTTAAAAAAAGCAATTCTACCAACAACAAAAATATATTTAAAAATATATGAGAAAACATCATGTTTCCTAATAACTCACAGATTGTGCCATTCCTGTTTTCCCCAAAAAACTCTCAAACGTACACTGTGCATTCACTTGCATTAAAATAATTGTTATGGTTCTGGTCTGTAAAAGCTTCAAAATAAATTCTCTAGCTCTGAGCATTGTGCTACATCTATAGTTGTTTGGGACCAGGTTATACCACATTTATTCAGACCCATACCGTATGAGAATTATCCCATCTTTGTAATACCTTCATTGATCAGTTTTCATGAGGGACAGACAAAAACCAAATTAAGACAGTGGGTAACAAAGAAACAAAGGGTACAACATTCCTGGAGAGGCCAGTGAGCTAAGCATTTTTCTACTGCTGTTTCTGTGACAAAGAAAGAGAACAGTTTTAAACCACAGCGTCATAGAATCGGAAACATTTCAGTCCGAGTACCCACTCAACAAGTACATGTAGCCACCCAGGCTTAAAACATTCTCTTCCCTGACATAACACTTAACCAGGTTCCCGTCCACACCACACCCACTTCTACGTTAGTTTAATTTTAGTAAGAGTTTTACAGCATTTGCAACACAAAAAGGTCATATAAGTGCCGAAGATTAGAGGTGTTACAAGAGAGTAACAAACACAAAAAAAAGGAAGAGAGATAAGGATGAAAGATGTTCGATAGGAAAGAAGGAGCAAACCACACCAGAGTAACCACGGGTGACCTAGGATGAAATCAAACAAACAACATGAACACACAAAGCCAGCAAACGCATGCAGCCTAGAAGTGGTGATAATAGAAAATTGTCAAAAAAGAGGAAAATTCTCGTCACCCCACAAAAAAGCACAGGCTGTCATCACCTGTTATTGACAGAAGCGCATGAGATTTTTCCGCCAGGTCAGAATCACGGAAAAGCGGAGCAAATTTTTCAAAAAAGAGGAAGATTTCTGATGGAAGGAAAAAAAAGCAGATTTCCGCCAATTGGGGGAAAATTATCAGCACTGAGCCTACCTGCAGCTCGGCCTCCGTGTAGGGCGGCTGGTCCCAGCGGGGTACGTCCACCTGCTTGTTGACCACGCCCTCCAGGAGCGGCACCAGCATGGCCTGCAGGCCGTCCAGATCCTCCCGGCCCACCACGCAGCAGCCCATGATGTTGGAGGAGTAGAAGCGGCCGTGGAACTTGAGCAGCTCCTCCCTCACGTCCTGGCCCTGGCTCTTGGGGATGTTCTCCAGCGTCTCCTTATTGCCTGAAAAAAACAAAAATATGTCAGATACAGCCGTAACACTCTTTGCAACATATTCTCCAGTAACATCCAGTGTCTCCTTATTGCCAGAAAACAAAATAAGCCTAAAGTACTCTTTACAACCGGCTCTCCCGTAACACGAAGTGTCTCCTTATTGCCTGAAAACAAAATTAGTGTAAGGTACAGCTATAACACTCCTTGCAACATATTCTCCTGTAACACCCAGCGTCTCCTTATTGCCTGCAAAAACAATATGTCAGATACAGCCATAACACCCTTGGCAACATTCTCCTGTCTGTTTAAGTAAGAGTTTTACGGCAGTTGCAACACTGAGGTCATATAAGTGCCGAAGATTACGGGTGTTACAACAGAGTAACAAACACACAAAAATGAAGGAGGAGAGATCAGGACGATAGATGTTTGATAGAAAAGAAGGAGCAAAGCACACCAGAGCACCTGCCAACCACCCACCATTCTCCTATAACACCCAGCGTCTCCTTATTGCCTGAAAAAAAAAAACACATCAGAAACAGCCGTAACACTCTTTGCAACATATTCTCCTGAAACACCCAGCATCTCACAGCCTGAAATCAAAATATGTCTGTGCGCCAAGAGAAAGGTACCAAAAGTCGCCCCAGACCGTTTCGAGCTACAGGCTGATAATGACAAAAATAATTTTTTTTGACCAAAATGTGTTTCCATTAAAAAATGATATATCCACCATTGTCTTACACTACAGTGTTCTCAAAGAGCTTTCATTGATTTGACTTCTAATTATTTAACTTAGCATTATTTTGAGGGCACAGTATAATAAAAACAAATAATGAAAACTGCTTTTAAAAAGCGTTAAAATCTATTCTTGAAGCACATTTTCTCTTCCCTGCTATGTTTTACCATTGAATTCCATTCATGATATTGATGTCAACTGAATGCCAAATTGGACATGAATTTTCCAAGAATAAATACATTTTAAGAAATAGCTTAACATCTAAAAAAAATACTTGAGACATCTAAAAAAATATTCAAAGACCATTGTGTTTAGCATTGAGTTTCCTATAAGGTACCACCCTTAACTCAAAATGGTCCTTTCCTTAGGCATAAACACATATGTGTGAGGTACGGCCATAACACTCTTTGCAATATCCTCCTTTAACACCCAACCAAATTATCGCCTGAAAACATGTGTAAGGTATGTGTATAAAATATAATGTAAAGGCACATACAGCCTACTGTTGAGCGGGGAGGTGCGCTATACAAATGTTATTTATTATTATTATTATACGACTCTATTCAACATCATAAGGTTGGGAAAGAGACAGGACCTCCTATTTTAAGATCCATGTTTCTGCTGCAGCCAGCCAAATGGGTGGAGAGCTTTGACAAGTTTCAAAACAATCCTTTTTCTTCTTCTTCTTCTTCTCCTTCTCCTCCTCCTCCTCCTCCTCCTCCTCCACCTCCACCTCCTCCTCCTCCTTCAAAACAATTTAAGAAAGTCACATAAATAAGAAATCTGAGCAAAGATAATCTGCATTCCAATCCAACATGATATCAACTGAGCAATTGATGACATAAAACTGAATGTTAACCAGCACTTATCAGAACAGCCATTTCCACACTCCTCGCTCGCACCTTTATCACTGATGGACAATGAGTCATGCAGCCTGTCAGTTTTTAAAAGTTTTAGTAGAGGTTTTACGGCGCCCGCAACTGCATAAGGTCATGTGAGCGCCAGAAGATTAGAGGTGTTACAAGAGAGTAACAAACATAAAAAAGCAGAAGGGGAGATAAGGACGATAGCTGTTTGATAAGAAAGAAGAAGCAAACCACACCAGAGCACCCGCCAACCATCCATAGTCTGTCAGTTTGAGAGGGCAAAACTTTCCCTATTTCTCTAAAGAAATGCTGCCCAGAACAACCAGAGACATATTTTCCCACAATCATTTATTACATTCTGGTCAATAGTGATGAAAACAGGAGGTTGCCATGTACAAGTCCAGAATGAAGGACCAGCTCAGACCACAGGTCTGCATAGTAAGCCATTAAAAAAAATTGTGGTTCACAATCATCTAAGGGGCTATTCTTCAACTCTACATGACGACAACTGACTAGAGTGACATCAGTGTCATCATCCAGTGCCAGATCTGCGACAGACATCGACGATCATGGTTCTCCTCCTTTGCTCGGACACTTAAAAAATGCTACGTTTACCTGATCTTTGTGTAAGCCCTTAAAATTCTCATATTTTACACAACTATACAAAAATTTCACATGTATCCATCTCACCTGTGCCAAACTTGCTAAAGTCATGGTCTGGCCGTGCCAGAGACTTGTCTAACTGAAACAGGCGCCACGGGTCGCTCTGAAGGTTGCGGCTGTTCTCACTGTCCACGGCATTAACTTCTCGACCCGTAGCAGAGGGGGTGAACAGCGGGCAGGTGAAAAACTGTGCGAACCTATCCCATCGAGACGGGGAACATTGAGACAAACAGAGGGCAGGTGAAAAACTGGGCGAACCTATCCCATCGAGACGGGGAACATTGAGACAAACAGAGGGCAGGTGAAAAACTGGGCGAACCTATCCCATCGAGACGGGGAACATAGAGACAATCAGAGGGCAGGTGAAAAACAGGGCGAACCTATCCCATAAGGACGGGGAACATTGAGACAAACGGAGTAAACCTATCCCATCGAGACGAGGAACATAGAAACATTAGATACTTTAGTTTCAGTAAGAGTTGCAACTTGCAACACAAAATGTCATACAAATGCCGGAGACTAAAGGTGTTAAACGAGAGTAGCAAACACAAAAAAGAAAGAGGGGAGATAAAGATGATAGATGTTTCATAGGAGAGAAGGAACAAGCCACACCAGAGCACCAGCCAACAACCCACATTGGAGACTTACAGCTCAAATAGTACCAACATCCCATTAGGAGAGGAACATAAATAAAGCCATAATAATACAAACCTACTGGGGGTAGGGGAGGAAAATCAAGAGAAAGTCAACGAGAGAAGAAAAGGAATCAAACAGGAAGGAAAACAGTTTTAGTTTTAGTAAGAGTTTTACGGCATTTGCAACACAATAAGGTCATATAAGTGCCAAAGAATAGATGTGTTACAAGAGAATAACAAACACAAAAAAGAAGGAGGGGAGATAAGGATGATAGATGTTTGACAGGAAAGAAGGAGCAAACCATACAAGAGCACCTGCCAACCACCCACGGAAGGAAAACAGAGAAAAGACGGACGCACAAAAGTGGAAGAGAACAAAACTGGGTTAAGGAGTACACTGAAAAGAGACAAACAAATTGTGAATAAAAAGTTATAACACGTTAATGAAGCAAAGAAGGATCAAATCAATCTCTGGGTAATTACTTTACCCAAATATCTCACAAGCTTACTTAAAGAGCCTCAAAAAAACCAAAAGCACACACACAACCCCGGTCTGCACAAACACAAACCCTACATCTACATACACACAAAATTCCACATCTACACACACACAAAACACTGCATGTACACATACATCGTGTCTACACACACACACATAGCCTTGCAAGTGCACATGCACCAGGTCTACACACACACTAAACCCACGTCTACATACACACACAAAAACTCGCACATAACCCCGCGTCTACACATACAACAAAACCTCTCATCTACACACACACACACAAAAAAAACTCCACATGTACACACCTGTCGAGTGCTCCAGCCAGGTTGTCGGGCGACACGTCAAAGTAGTAGTTGGTGTGCTCCAGGGAGGTGAACGCGTTGGACATCCCTCCGTGCTCACTGAGAAACTGAGCAAGTACACACACCAGATTTTATTAATAATAATAATAATAATAATAACATCCATATAGTGCTCAACCCTGATTAAAGTACACAGGCTCTGAGTGCTTTACAATACAACAGTAACATAAAACGAGTTCTGACCAAAAGAAAATCTCTCTAAATATTCATCTTATCAATATAAAAACAGAAATGACTTCAGCTGACATTTGAAGGAATCAAACTATTTGACCTCTCTTAAACTACTTGGCAAACAATTCCAGCTCTTGGGGCCTTGATAATATATTATATAAATGTCCTTTCACCCATTGTTTTAAATTTTTATATAGTAAAAGAAATTTCTTTGTCAGCTGATGACCTTAAACTGCCAGTTGGAATGTACAGTCTCAACAGATTTGATAAATGTGATGGCGCATTATCATTCAAAACATACAACAAAAGATGTTTCCTTAGCAACTTCCAAATCTCCAGATCTAACAGTGCCAACAAAATCTATAAATAGAGCAAAACTAGTGCCTAATATAAAGCCAGTGTAAGTCTTCTAACCATACAGAGCACTGTAGAATTTGTTCGTCAAATATTCAGACAAATATGCACAACAAAAGGAGCTAAATGGTGGGGTCCAATAAAGTTCACAAACAAATAAACCACTAATAAAGAGACATGAAAAGTCCACAGCCACCAGAATACAAGTGATTTTCCATTTAAATCCTTGCTCAAACTCCCGAGGAAATCCTTTAGCATTTCAATGAAAAAAAAACAGCATGACATATCAATTCTTTTTTTTTAACTGCTTCAAAACTTCAGTTGTTTTTTTAGTGTCTGTACAAAATAAATAACAGTCTCCCTTTAAAGCCAGCTACATGGTTATAAAGCATTCCACAAAAAGGTAGCCAATCACAGACATTGTATCAATTTGATTCTGTCCTGGCACTTCCCATTGGTTACCATCTTGGAGAATGTTCAGTGATCGAGAACCGGCCGACACAAGCTCAAGATGCCCATCAGAACCACAGCAGTCAGAATCAGCTTCAAACATGAGTTAACCAGGGAAAAACTCTGTCCATTTTTCCGTCATCAAAGACACGATAAGTCCATTTTATTTTTCTCAAACAGTCCGCACGCAATAATTCTGGTGTCTATCAACTGGCAAATATGCAACTTACCTTATTGTACTCATTTTCCTCAGGATACTGAGAAAGAGAAAAATAAAAGACGGCATGCTTTAAAAAATGGGACAATACAAAAATGTTTTACATCTTTTTTCACACCCCCTTCACATATGTGGAATCGTTCTTAACTCATTCAATGCTGAGCGCTCCAGCAGTGAACTCCCCTCTTATACTGGCCAGTTTTGTTATAGCAACATGAAATTATGTCTACTCAGGAAAAGCAATAAAAACTAGAAGGCTCAATATGGCTGTTTGAGCAGAAAAAAAAGTCTCCTTGACCTTTCCTATGCATTATAATTAGTTCAAATAACTTGGTATGGATTACATAGTTTAATTCTTTCTATAAAGATAACGAGGCAGAAAGTGAGAATACTCGTCGCTAGTATGGGGGCGGGGCCCAGGTTTCGCGAATATTCTCCTCCGTAGCCCTGAATGAGTTAATTCCAGTTCCGTGATGTAGATACGATCTGTGAAACTGCGGACCCTTCACATTCCAAAGAGAGACCATTCCCATCATAGATACATGCAAGATGTCTCACTATCACATTCTTCTCTCTCTCTCTCTCTCTCTCTCTCTCTCTCTCTCTCTCTCTCTCTCTCTCTTTCTCTCTCTCACAAGCATCATCGAAGCACACAGTAAAAGCATTCCTCTCCCTTAATAGGAATCCAATTTTTAAAGGAAAATTGAAAGTTTCGTAAGAGTTTTACTGCACTTGCAACACAATAAGGTCAAATAAGTGCGGAAGAATAAGTGTATTACAAAAGGGTAACATACACAAAAAAGGAGGAAAGATAAGGACGATGGATGTTTGATAGGAAAGAAGGAGCAAACTACACTAGAGCACCCACCAACAACCAACAAAAGTTGAAAAATGGTCTTTTCATCAAAATATCAAATTGTAGCAAACCTCATAGGACTTTACATGAAAATGTTGGGGTCTTTAAAAGGAAGATGTAATTTTCAACAATAAGTCTTTCCAAGAAAATGTCATGAAAATTGAAAAAAAAACATGAAGAAAATAAACTTGTTGGACGACAGCCACATTTTGAAGACCCACCTTTTCTGTACCAAGAAATAACATGTGCTCACAGAAGTGAGCCAGACCAGGAAGTTCTCGGGGATCCTTCAAGTGTCCTGGCAAAGGTCAAACATTTCTATTAGCACATCACATCATGACATACCGTAGTAAAATAATATCAAACGATTATTGAGGATTAGTGACAGAAATACTTTAAGGTCCAATACCACCTGCCAATAACGATTTATTTCTGTCAAGGACGCCAATGATGTTGGAAGCACACTGAACAAGATTGAGGATTCCAAAAATGTACCCGTGTCTTTATCTTGGGTTATTATATTCTAAATCATGTGAGAACATGGTTTTACCCTAACCAGGAACCCCCCCC